TGAAATCTTATCGGCTGTGGGTGAATCATAATTTTCCGAATTTTCATGATTTTTGTCTGCCTTGCTGAATAAGGTGCATCATTTGTGCTGATAATATTACGACAACATTTAGTAAACTATTGTAGTACTTGATCGTTGTGTTGATTAAAATAGCAGAGCTAGGGTCACTTTGAGATCAAAAACTCGAGAACGATTTGGTGTAAAGCCATGAAAACTTGACTGCATTCTAAAATCGAGTTCAGACAAGTCTTAATTATGTTTACTTAGGACTTTGTTAATATTTAAGTACAAGTATAGTTCCCTAACAAAATTCAGTAACAGAAAATTAATTTGCACAAGCAAAAAATATATAGACCATTCGGAAGACGCTCATTTTATTCTTATCAATAAACTTGTCTGATAACACATAGGTAATACTTATCTTCTCTGCCTTAGAAAACTCAGACTTGAATTTTCGATGCTTAAAAAAACAGTTTTTCATAATTATAACTAATTCATGGTTAAAAAGAATAATATTTAATAGATAAATTATGTTTATTTCAAAATAAGCTATCGAAAATTTACTGAACCTTTCCTCTTTTGAACGACATCCCTAATAAGTGTCCACAGAGAGTCTATAAGGTTTTGGTTTATTTCATAATTAAAGTTCGATCAAACCAACACAGATATTTTTAATTTGGTTAAGCCCTTTTTAACTTTGACAAAGGCTCTTTATTGGATTCCAATTGAGGTTGAATTTATTCGTACTTTAAGTTGTGCACTGTAGCACTAAGCTGAATCGTTCAGAAAAATTGTTATTTTGTAAGAAAAAAAAGTTCAAATTGAGTCCGGCATTCTTGGGACGCTACTGAACAGATTTCAGGGAGTATTCGATGAGGTTTAAACCCGTAAGTGCGCATAATCATATTTATGCTGGCCAAGGTTGGTTTTATATAGATCATTATGGACATATGTATTAGGGATAGCTACGGCGGGAGTATGGTATTGTGTATTGTGTGCCGTAGCACCAACCTTCTTGGACTATAGCCCAAAGGGCTCTACAACAGTTGTGTGTATAATTTTTTGTCACCCTTTAAACAAATTTGAAATTATAAGTTGCAAAAAATAAAAAAGAAGTATTTTTAATCCACTGTCAATTATGCTTCCCCCTCATGCTTTTTGGGAATAACACTCATTGCATTCAATTTAATGAACGTGATTTTAAATTACGCTTTGCATATAATGAATGCCATTCTTAATTTATTCAATTGTGCAGAAAATAGTTATACAAATGTTTAACGTCCGAAATCGCTTAACGCTCGGAACGTTTGCCAACCAAATATACACCGCGCGCTGCCCTTCGAAATAGATGTGGTAGATAGTTGCAAGCGGCACCGCTATGCGCTTTGCCAACCCGTAATAAATACCTCTACGATGTGGTCATTGAGATATTTGCTTTTGCTGTTGCTGCCACCGACAGAACCACAGTTTCCACAATTTTCACATTGGCCGTCGCCACGTAGTATTGAGTCATACATACATACATACACACATTTGTACCAATGTATATGCAGATAAACATATAATTACCTTTTTTCATATTTGCAAAACTCCGATGTGATACTGAGCGGTGTAGCGGCTGTGTGTCCAACGCCGTTTGGCTGTAGTTGGCACAACAATTAGTGCAACACCGAAGTGCAGCAGCTCATAAAAAGTAGTTAATTGCATTTTTATGCAAATCGCAAACATTAAAATAATTACAGTTGTTGACTCGTGTTTCTGTGCTGATTTCAAAGAAATAAAAATATATGCGAAAAAGCGAAAATACAAATACAATTCGATGGCGGAAAAAAGTCTAAAAACAAAAAATTGCCTACCGCGCAGCCGTTAAAAAAGTTTGAAATGCATTTATTGAGGAGAAAACTAGCGACCAGCAGCCTACGCAGCACAGTTAAAGTTGCTGCTTCGGCTATGCCCCGCGTACCGGCCGACGCAACAGCTTAAAAAGTGTCGTTGGGCGCTCAAATATGCGTTCATTTTGTTGACTCTTGATAACAGTCAGTTGTGCATACCAATGCGCACACATACACACAAACACACTTGCATATGCATAGGCACTCACGCTCCTTGCCTGCCGTCAAATATGTTGTTGTCACAAGCGTGTCGAGTGCGCCAGTGTTTACGTGGATCCGGATATAATTTACTTTGCAACAGATTAAATGTCTTGTAAAAATGCGCCATTAGCAGCCAATGACACACAAACGCAACTACACAAGTTACCACATATGTAGATATGTACACATGTTTATGGTGGAAAAGCTATGTGAGCAGCCGTCAACAACAAGACGATGAAGTTGTTGGGCTTGTATGTACTCATACATAAATCGACAACAATGCGTTTTACATTTTATTGACTGCTTGTTGGCTGCCGTTCGCTAATTGCCGCTTGTGCGCCTAATTTAACAAGGCATAAGAAAATAAATAAATTGTAGAAATATTTATGTACCACGAGTGAACTCACATGTGTATGTATATGTATGTTTCTATCTAATTTTTTCGTCACATACGTCCAGCTTTATAGTGTTGTCGTAGAGACGATTTCAACATCAAAAAGCAGTAGAAATATGAAAGTCGAATTTCGCATTGATATTCGAAGCAGCATAATTTGAAATAAATCTGCTTACAGCTCTCCTAACTTCAATCCCCGCGCACAAATCCCTCGCAGGTGTGTGTGAAGAAAAGGAATCGCCAAGAGCTCCTTGTCCTGCTTTCTTAAGTTTAATAGCAGCCTTCGCCGCAAGGCACCTGCCAGCCATGTCTACAGGTGCAACGTGTAGAATAGCATTGAGTGCCATTTTTGGTGTTGTAGTGCTCCACAGGTGAGATCGATTTTTGAAGACGCTCCAGCCGCTTGGGTAGTGTGGTTTTTCCACCACCAGAGCACGACTACATAAAATATTATTGGCTTACCATCGGTTTCACAGAGCCAGAACACCACTTTTGATGACAATCCCCACATCTTCATCATTGCTCCTCTAAGGTGACTGATGCTTTCCTCATTCTCTCCTCAATGTTTGGCTTCCGTGATAGTTTCCTATCAAAGATAAGCCCTTTACCCTGGCAACCGGTTGAAGAGTAGAGTCTCCCACCGCGGGGAGAGTAACATCAGGGATTTTCTAACTCCTAGTAAATACAACTAGCTCAGTTTTATTTGAATTTATGGCTAAGCCATTTCTATCTATCCACTTGGTTACCACATTTAGTTACCCTTAGAGCTTCAATAATCAGTTCCGGCCATACGATTTTGAAGGCTCTCTCTATAAAAAGAATATGTATATATACCGAATTGTCTTTATGTACCATATAAGGGCTCGTTTCAACCATGACACTACCGAGTGCAAATCAGTGTCGACCGATCTGCCTTTACTGTAGGCATGCTGAGTCCTTAACAGCCTGCTCGTTGGAATTATACCCCTAATGTACAGGCCCATGCGTTTCTCTTGCGTTTTCAATAGAAACGAGTGCTAGTGAGTTGGCAAGGATATGAGAGCTTTTAACGGCCTTCTGCAGTTAAACATTTGTGAAGCATCATTTAAAAGATTGATTTGTTATATTTTTTCCTATTTATCATCTTGTTTTTCATTTTACACTTAAGTCAAAATGAAGACAAATATAATATTATTGTAGATAATGTAGCCGATTTCGTCAATCGAATAAAAGGGCCAAATTTTTTGGAGATTATTTACGAACTTCTTCTGTTTTCCGGATAATGCAGGGACACTTCAAATATTATGGCTGAAAAGGAAATCGCAATAAAACTTGGCCCCATTTGATCTTACTTAATCCATATTTGGCTTTTAGGCGATATTCACTTGTAGATATTTTAGCAACTCAATGAATTTGATGAAATTTCTGAGTTTTTGCGACTTTAGCTGAAAGTAGAATATATTATGATGTACCGCCTGTATCGGCTGAAGGCAGGACATGCGCATTATTCTAATGTTCTAGCATATCATAATCTTTTTAGCGGATTCTACTTCCTGCCGATTTCATATTACCAAGTTTCCATAAAATGTAACTTAATATCCTCTTTCCTAAATATATAATTGTTTTAAGCAATCCACTAAAAGCTATACTCCAAAAGCATTTTGTGGTACGCACTATGTCGCTGGTGTTTCGCGACTGAGATATTCCTCTAACGTCCACTGCTTCCGGCAAAGCTTGTAGTAGCGATACGAGCTAGGTCAACTTAAGTTAAAGGCATTCGGAGCTCCTCCAGAGCGTGCTAAATTCTCTGACTTTTCATTTTCTTCTATACTTTTGTGACTGCGTATCCAGAACCGAGTTTGTCACTAAAAGTCTATTGATTACCTCTTTACTTTATGTAGCTAAACCCTTTCATCTTAATTATTTTTCACTTGTTTATCTAATTATTATTATTCCAACTACATCTATTATATCTTTGCCATTGTTACCTCAATCTTTTTTCAAAACAAAAAATGAGTTCTTCTCTTCTTGCTTGTCATTTGGAACTTCATTTAAATATTTTAACAACCTCACTGCCTAATGAAACGCCAGCTGTTGTACAAATTCTGTTATGCAAATTTTCTTAAAAGTAAATTTCTTCAAATATGCGACTACAACGAATGTCTGCCTGCCGCACATACATACCAACATCCCTATACTTATATATATATACTTATAGTCTTATTCAACTCTTTTTCTATTCGAATTTGAATTTCAGTCGATTGCCTACAGCACTTGCAGCTTGAAATGTTGAAATGAACTTGAGTTCACAGCACAACTCAGCTCGGCAACGGCCGCCTCAGTGTCGGCAGTTTGGTTGACAAAATTCTGTAGCAATTAAATGCAAAATTATTCACTTCGGCAGCTGTTTGCCTACTGAAAGCTAACAAATTTCTATATTCTTTTTATTTACATTTAATAAAGCAAATAAACGATTGATGTTTGTGAAATTTAATTATTTTTGTGGATTTACATTTTTCTTTGTATCTTTTCAGAGCACGCCTTACACTTTGAAGGATGGCACATGCAACGGTAGTGAGGTGACAACTTGGACTTCGACGGGGTTGCCACCTTCAACCGGTTACTACACATACGATCCAACATTCGGTGCGTATGGGTAAGTGAAATAGATAAAGAAAAATTATAGTAAATAATAACAATACACGCGGTTGGAACCGAACCTAATAAACTTTATCGAATTGAAGTAATTTATGAGGTAATATGTAACTTGAGATTTCAGCCCAAATTTATAATTAAGACACAAGTAAACTTATACCAAGGTATATTGAAATAACTCATATATTTTTCCAAAGGATTGACATAATTTAGTAAAAAATAAAAGGACTGCGATGCTTGAAAAAGCCAACTATTAGTGGTTCGGATGGCACATCACATGGAAGGTCTTTGAAATATTAATCAGTTTACTTGGTTCCAATTCAATTGTTGTTAGTTATTGTAGGTACGGTGTATTTAGCATTTGTAGAAGCAATCATAACACTTTTCCATATTGATTGTTGTGTATTCTTTCTGACCTGATACTCTTGAAAATTTATTAATTCGGGAATCAATTCAAAGTTCGATTAATTGAGTTTAGCTTTTTAGTTTTTTGGTAAACATGCGATGGATTGTGAGTCTTTCATGTTAGTCCATAAAAATGTTTTATATATAAAGCATGCCTTTTAACCGTTATATGGTTTAATTTATAAAAGCTTTCCAGAAATTACACGTATCCAATGAATAGATTGTTGGCCACAGAATTTGCATAGGTTACTTCTGAAAAGCCTTTAAAGATCGGGTACTGATAGAACTTTTTATTTCATTTTTGATTTGGTACATTTAGTTAGAGGGAAATTTCACAGAGTTTAAAGTCAGTGCTGTTAAATATGTTCACTGATATCATACATTTCTGCGACGTTATGCTAATGAAGTATTGTCGTTCTACAATATTATATCCCACTCCAACAAACATGTATTTGCCGAATAGAGAAACTATGGACGAACTGCTACATATTTTCCGATTTCGTCAATTTCAATGCTGTGAAAAAAGGTTTCGCCAAAGTACTTACATTACGTTTTTCGGAAGATGGTTCCGTCTTACGACCTACTTCCACCCACGTCCTGGTTTGTATAATCTACATAGTTTATTTTCCATGTTTGTTGAGTCACGTTGGGTTTATATGGATCAGTCCGGGTCATATTTAATCTTGATTATATGATTATGATTATTCCAACGGTATAATAATCATACCATACCATTAGCGTGTATAAAATCTCACTTTTTTCCCAAAAAAAACAACAACAGTTTCCTGTCCTCTAGAAGCAATAAAGTTCAAAGTATATTTTCTTCTCGCTCTTTGAAAGTAAATTCAGTGAAAATTAACAGCAAATAAATCTTCGACAAATTCCACAAATAACCGTGACTACCTGAAATCTGCGAAATCCATGATTTCGTTGATAGTATTGAAGTAAAAATCTGCACAACAATCTTGACGAAGTTCTTGCGAAGAATTCGTACTTCTTCCCTTATACATCATGAACGAAGAACAGAATGTTAAATTAATTTCTAATCCCCACAATATATGAATCGAACTTTGAACCGCCCACCAACGCGCATACCTACGCATAACACCCACACCACCAGCAGTCGATACAAGTTCGTCGCTCATAAAAGCCAACAAGTACAAGCATTATAATGTTTTTTACAGCTTGCTTGTCTACATTTCAATACATAATACATATTTTTTATTCGCTATGTGTGTGTGTGTGTGCATGCGCTGGATAAGTTCTTAAATTGCTGGCAAAATTCCGAACTTGTGAACTCGCTGCAATAAAAAGCGAAAATCGAGACGTGAGATAATTCCATCTGGGCCAAGCGAGCCAACTCATCCCACAGCGCTCAGAAGCTGCCAAGTTTCCAGCAGCCGTGCTACACCGCTTCCGGTTACTTTAAAAACGCCTGCTGTGCTGCGCTATGCTATGCGCTGCGGCAGCTGCATGCTGAATAGTTTCCCCACACGATGAGCCGAACATCGTAGCGTATGATGAACTTATAGTGGCACACACACACACATTAGCCTCTCATCTTTTGTTGTTTATTTGTTGCTTTGTAATTTTGGCAGGCGGGCGCACTTAAAAATGCGTGCAGCAACTGGCTGACTCTTACGCTGCCTACCCTTCGAAGCTTTTGACCGAAAAGTCAGCACACAGGCGGCGACTAAAGCGAAGCACTAGTGCGACAGCAATTGAAACTTTGCCAGACGCAGCCGGCGAGCGAGCGGTTGGCAGCCAACAAAAGCCAAGAAAGCAAAAGTGGCCAGCTTGCGAAGTTTGCCGAGCGGCGACAGCAGACACGAAAATGCGTTTGGCTTTGGCAAAGTCAGTGTGCGAGTCACAAGTGGCAGCCCATTGTGTGCTGCCCTGAGACAATGAAATGTATGTATGTGTGTTGAGCGAACGCACAGCCGGTTGAACTTAAAAGTTTAAAGTTTTTTCTCTCCATCGCCGGAGGGTATTGTGCCTTGAAATGTCATTTTTTATTTGGTTGAATTTGTTGTCGATTGTACTAAAAAGCTTATTTTAGAAGTTAGTTGTTAAAATACTGACTTTTGTTTTAAATTTGGTATGAGTTTCTACTCACTCTTTAAATGTGTTTTTGTATGTAATTTATATTTTAAAGTTATTGCTCTTTAAATAAGGTGGAATCTAAAGCGACGAATTTAAAAGACTACAACTAGTTAACTATTTTCAGCAAAGTCTATTTATAATTATTTAAAGAGATTCGCATTGAAAGAGGATTGTAGCGAACATAATTTAGTTACTTGAAAACAATATTTGTGTACAATCATAATATTAGTAGATAGTCTTGATTTCCTTACTTTACAGAAGTGGCGTGTACCCTTCTTTTGTTTTCTATAAAATATTTGGTTGTGGTAGTAAATCAAGTAAAGTAAAACATCTGACATGAAAAAATGGGAATTGCTGGTTTATTTTAAAATATTCTTCTCATACAAAACAAGCCTCTTCATTTTGGCAGTTTGACATATATGTAGCAATACATTGTTTTTGCGTTGGTAAAACCTACTTTAACACTGGATATTAATATTCAAGTTATGCATATAGACCAGGGTAGATAATTTTTGAAATAATCATGGTAGGGTGAAATGTATTAGAAATGAAAGATAAAATAACAAAAATGAAAGAAAAAATAATTGACGGGCGATCTGATTTAGGATTAGAATGGTTTAGGTTGATTTCTGGGATTTAGAATGGCTTAGGTCGATTTCTGACGAAACTACGTGTCTTATGGAGAAAGCAAAGCAAAGTTGTAGGTAGTGTAAAGATCTAGTCCAACTTTTGTATTCACAAACTTTTTCACATAACCTCAAAAGTTTTTTTGGAAATTTTAATATTTAAGAATGTAGTTGCAAATTCCGGATGGTTTTCGTCAATCCCTCGATTCAATGTGATGAGTTGTTGTCGGTAGTGTTTCCTATTAATGGTTTCACTCGGTCTTAGAAGCTCAGTAATATAGCACGCCCTTCTCAACCTACTAAATACAAAGCATTACAATGGCTCAGGTATATTCAGATTGCCGTTGATTTGGCTGGTAGACCAGATTTCACATATGATTTTTTGCGTTTAGGGTTGTTGTAATGGATCCAGTTTTCATCATCAGTCACAATCCGATGCAATAACGAATTTTTTTAGCGTTCAAGCAGTATTTCTGACATGAAAAATTGTTTTTCAACGTCTCCTGACTTCAACTCATATGGCACCAAATTTCCTTTTTTTTTAATTTATTCGGCGGCTTTTAAGCGTTTTGAAATGGCTGCTTGAGTGCTTGACTCCTAAATATACTGCGAGCTCTTTTTTAGTTTCGCAACAATCTTCATAGATGAATGTTTGCAGTTCCTCATCTTCCAACTTTTTTGACTGCCAGGACGTTTTTCGTCTTCCAAGCCCAAATCGCCACCTTTAACACGTGGAAACCACTTTAGCACGTTCATTCAGCCATAAATGTTCACCAGACTTTCGACTAGATATTCTTCATTTAAAGTACTGAAGAAGAAAGAACTCACCGCATATTTGAGTGAAAAAATAAATAAATGTTGTTAACCGTTCAAATGAATGACACAAGCACATTGTCAAAACTCATAATGATAGTAGCTTTTCAATGCATGTTCGGAACAATTGGCAAAAAAATGATTGTGTCCCACTCAGAGTTTACTATTTTGCGTTCAATTCCAGTTTTTCTAAAAAACCAAGCACCGAGCAATTTTTGTTGGATTCGACTCATCTTGTATTACCCATACAGCCCACTGCTGTTTACTTTAGGGTTCATACGCGTACATCCACGATTCATCAACTGTCGCTACATTTCTCTCGACGAATGGAAAGGAGCTTTTTTTGAGCGATTGCCAAATTGTGTGGGATCTAACGTGAACAAATTTTTTTTAACAATCAAATGTTCATGCAATATTGAATGTATGCTGGTCACACTAATGCCTATAGTAGTCTCGATCTCCTGAAAGATCACATGATAGTTTCGAAATATCACTTCGCATCAAACATCAAAAGTTTCGTAATTAACATTGTTATTTGATGGAACTTCATTTCCAAAAATTGAATTAAATCGAAAGTTGTAAAAAATAATTGTGCGCCCAAAAGTTCGCGATTTAATTAAATCGAAAAAATTTGTTTGATATAATACCATGCTCCGACCAAAAATTTGAAGTGATTACATTACATTTAATCTACTTACTAATCTAGATTGCCTTCACTGCCGTTGGAAATTTATAAAACAGCTGATTTTGACATAAAAAACTGATATCGTTTGATATTTATTAAAATAAGACATTGTACTTTGTTAAAAAAGTCGTCTAGTTGTAAATATAATATTTTCCACATAATGGAAATAATAGACTAATTTTTTGACTTGGGAAGTTAATTTCCAGGTGAATTCAGTTACATTGCTTTTACATTTTTTTTATCTTTGTAGTGTCTAAATCTGCTGCGATAAATTTTTCTATTGACAAACAGATGGCGCTAAATAAGAGCCGCACCGAGAGATTTCGAGTAGGTTGGCTTCAAATCTCCTCGGTGACGAGATTAAGAAAT